ATAAAAGCATGTTTGCTACTAAATTAACCAAATATTCACATATAATTAACCTCTCTTTAATTTTTTATCCATCACCCGATAAAACACCAATTAGTTTTAAAAATTGACACATTAACTCTGAATCCTATGTGTGTATGTTAATGTTTATCACTGTGCTGTAATTCCAATTTATGTGTACAACTGTTTATACAACTGTAGATATATGTATCGTATATATTGTTTGTATATATATATATATATATAATATGTTGGATATGCATTGTATGAAGGATACATTATCAAATAACTAATTCCACGATTAAAAATAGTTCGATGGTAGTTTTATTTCTCGTTTCAACAGCGATTTGTTTGGAAGAACAAGACAAACTGATTTATATCATACTGACATTTGGAACAAAGATTAGACGTGGTTAATGATTTTTGGTAGTGGGTCCAACATGTTCTAATCTTAGGTGAGTAAGCGAATTATTGTTAATTAAACAATTTGGATATTATGTAATGTCTTTTCCTCGAAAATGACACATTATGATGTTTGTCCCTAGTGATTTATAAAAACTAACAACCACAGAAAAGAGATAGAACATATCATAGAAACTTGTAGTTTGATAACAAGTTTATTTTAGTTGAAACAGATTAAGTGTGTAAATACTAAATAATCTGCGAATTACTCTGAAATAATTATTATATCACTGAAATTTTCCAATCAATTTATCTTTCGAGAAGTTATTGGACCATTGTCTGATTATCGAGCTGATACATAATTAACGAACATTATAATTAAAAGATGGATTATTTTAATCAAACCCTAAATATAATTTCAACGCGTTAATCTGAAATTGATATGAACTTTTGTGCCTTTAAGGTCCCATAAATGATTAATTAAGTAAACAAATCTAAAAAGTCTTATAAGTTAGTACGTAGTCGTCTTCTAATTCCAGCATTCGAATAATAATAAGTTAAAATTTTAAAGTAAATGATAAAGATTCAGCTGTAGGAATCATGTGATTTGATATACGAGCACATGTGCAAGCACATGGTGTGACCTAACGACTTCATCCTCCACTATCATCTTATTTTTCTTAGAATATTAATTGCATTTTCTTTTTACTTTTTGCTGCTTTAAAATTACGTTTTTGCTTACGAGAACGAAATTTTCATGTCGTTTTATGATTGGCAAATTCCCAAAATATATGTATATATATATATAGACCTTATTTAATCCAACATGTAACGAGAAGATATATTAACACGTTAAAGACCATAGTCTTTTTCATGTTTGAAATATGAGGTCTAACGAAGTACGTAATCAAACAAAAAAAGTACCTCACCATAAATACTCTCTTCGTTCTTTTATAAATGATGTTATAAGAGAATGCATATACATAAAAAAATCATTTAATTTTTATTTATTTTTAAACTAAAACATCATTTATTATCTAATCAACCAATAAAAAATCAATCTACAAAATATAAATCGTCAAAACTAATAAAAAAATAATTAATTTTGCATTGAAAATTAAAAACATCATCTGTTTAAGAACAAAATTAGAAGCTTACAACATCACTTATAAAAGAACGGAGGGAATATAAACATTTAACATAAAATTGTTGTTTTCTATTTAATATACAATTTAAAATCTAAAAATATAAAACTATACTAAGGAAATCATAAACATTTTTTAAAACAGAACGAAATAATAAACATAACAATAATTAAACTTTATTTAGCTGCAAAATATATAATTAATACTATATATTCTTTTACTATAAATGATATAACAATCTAAGATAAATTGTGTTGTTGATAAAAATTGTTAAATCGCAAAATGATTTCATCTTCTAAGGATTACCGATGAAAATATAAATTTCGGTTTGTAAGATTTAATACTCTAAAAGAGATTTTTAAATCTACTTAACTCCACTTTTCCAACTGGAGTTCGATTCCACGAAATCGTGTTACTTCGCGTATTAAGGATTGGCTATGGATCGGATCTTGTCGATCCAAAAACGTTATTAAAGAAAAAAAGTCTATTTTGTAAAAAATAAATAGTTATCCTTAACTTTTCTAAATATACATGATGAATAAGATCTATACTAGTATTTTTGCAGTCACTTTTGAGTCGGGTGGGTAAAATTGTTCTCGGATATTTTGGATACCCGACCCGTTTACAAATTTTAGTCATAAAAAGTTTGTTGGGTTGGGTTATATTTAACCCAACTCATACACCGGATATTCCATATTTAATAATTTAGATATTTAGAAGATTTGATTAAGATTTAGAATTATGATTCTCCTATCATTTTTGTTTGATTTGTTTTTAACTGTTTTGAATCATCATATAATACATAAAGTAAAAAAAAAAATCAATTTTTTTTCTGCATATACTGTGATTCGAAATTTTTAAAACGGACATATATTATCCAATTGACGAAAATGTGTGTTCAACGTTATACATCGATTAAAATATTTAGACAATAATTCAGAATCATATCATAAATAAGATCAACATTTATAAAATAAATGAGTTTTTTCGCCGGACGGGTTTGGCGGGACGGGTTTTTGAATCAACAATAATAAAAATATTAAAATAGCATTAATCCGCCGCTTCAATACAGATTAAATTTTTATTTTTTTTTAATATCAACAATATTAGACATATTAAAAGAATCTCATTTAGAAAAGATTGTATAAAACTAAAAATTGTCTCGTGGTATAATGTTACTTAATAACAATTGTAAACTATAAAATATAAATATCTTAGAAAATGATACAATTTGCAAACTTTTATATATAATAAATAATCGTTAAATTTTAAAAATTACTACTTTTAGAAAACAAATCACGGGACATGTTAAGAAGTTACAGGACGGGTTATATTTCGGAACGAAATTATATGTTGGACGAGTTTTAATCAATATTTATAAAATTTTAAAATATCATTACCATGCCGCTTTAATACAGATTAAATCTTCAGTTTATTAAAATATAAATGACTTAGAGAATGATATGATTTGTAAACTTTTATATATAATAAATAATCATTAAATTTTAAAATAAAAACAAATCACGGGACGGGTTAAGAAATTACGGAACGGATTATATTTCGGAACGGGTTTATATGGCGGACGAATTTGAATCAATATTTATAAATATCATTAACATGCCGCTTTAATACGGGTTAAATCTTCAGTTTATTAACAATTGTTTCGTCGACTCGTGATATACCGTTACATAATAACAATTGTAAACTATAATATAAATAAATATTTTATAAAGAGATACAATTTACAAAATATTTCTATACTAACTTTAAAAATAACAACTTATGAATGCATGACAAATCAAAATCTTGTTGTTACGTTGGGTATATTTGCTCTCTTCTATGTGTGTGTGTTTTTTTGCCGTTAAACAACGTCACAGTTTTGGTTTCGTGATATGCATAGTGTAAGCACAAAATGCAAACGAAGAGAAGCACCGTCTGTTACGGCGCCGTCATCATTGTCCACCATTCCCGTCCTCCAAAAGCCGCGTTTTGTGGGTTCCACTTAAAATTGTTTCACCACTATTTATTTATATTTCGAGTTTTTGGGCAACAAATAATATTCAATTTCGAGTTTCATATAAGTCCTAGAGGTTTCACTATAATATTATAGATAGCATAATACTTTACCAAAATAAAATAATATAGATAGCATATATCATACTTTACCAAACTAGCCAAAACTAATGTAGCTAGTTTGGTTTAAATTAAAAATCTGAAACCATAAATAGATGAGTTGAATTAATTGATTCACTCATGCCATAATAAATTAGTTGGGAACTTGGCTGGTTTGACCTATTTTCAACAGTTATTATAAGTTATACATCTACCTCTTGCTACCAAATAATCAAAAGCTCTTGTATATTGTTTTAGTATATATGCTAACAAATGCTATTTAACTTAGTGGTTGAAACATATTTAAGAGACAACTTCTTTTCACCATTAATGCAACACGATCACAATATTAGTTAGGTTTCCACCGGCTACCACTTTATTGACAAAAAAACATTGAAATCATATTTTTGGTCTACGAAATCCATCTTACTAATATTCCCTACTTGATTGATATCAAAGAATTATGACTATGATACTATAACAAGTGTCTACAGAGATCAACTGGTTAATCTTCTGTCACTTTTAATATGCTTCTTTTGTCATTTTATCTTCATTTTAATTAAGACCATGAATCAGTTACTATCATAGATGTACATTCTTTATCACAGTAGTTTATATACCTGTCCGTTAACTACTTTTTTAAGAATTTTTTTTTGGCATTTCTAGTGTTGTTAGTTGATCTAGTATTACTCTTAATTGTTTTGTTTACAATAATAATCTTGATAACCTATAAACTAAAAAACTACAGCTCAAATTTTACTACATAATCCCTCCGTTTCGTTTTAGTTGTCGTTTTAGGACTTAAATTTTGTTTCGTAATACAATGCAAATGTTTGGTAAAAATTCCAGTATTATCCCTATTGTTTTAATGATTTAGCCAATGAAAAAATTTATAAGATATATTAATAAAGGGTATAACAGAAAATTTAATGTTTTTTTTAATTTGTGTGAAAAAACTTTAAACGACAACTAAAACGAAACGTAGGGAATAGTATTTACATACATGTAGAAAAATTATTCGTAGAGAAATCCAAATGAACAAAATGAATTGATTAAAGATAGTTCCATAGAAAAAACACAAAATGTAATCGAAACAAAAGGTAATTGATAAACAAGTGACCCACAATATTACAACTACCAAAAGACATAAACGTTTTCTTATTCTTTTTATCTTTTTGAAAAATACCTTACACAATACTCAAATTAACAGCTAATACCCGCCGCTAATTTTATGCAACTTCATTAGTACAAGTTACAAGAGACAAAAAAAACTTAACTAATTAATCATTATTATAAAGTAAAAAAAAACTAAGCTTATTATTATTCTTTAATCCTATATTCTTTCTCTCTGTTTCTCTTTGTGTAGGGCCTTTGTGAAGGCTTCCATTGAGTTGCTTCTCCTCTGTAATAATAATATGACAGCCTAATCAAACCAGCCTGGAAAGAGCTATGAGCTATCTATCTAAAGAAACAAGTTTTGCAGAAAGTAACACTTAAAAAAGTCTCTACCTTTTCTCTTCTTCCTTTGCTCTCTTGTCTTTCATTGATTCTTCTTCGTCCCAAAACACACACATTCTTCTCCATTTGCCTCTTCTCGCCATGTGAATCCAAACCCTAAAGCTTCAAAATCCCTACTCTTTTCTCTATCTTCAACCTTCTTCAAGAACACAATCTCCAAACACAAAAAGTTTAATCCTTTTTAGCATTGAGCTTGTGGGTTTTCTTCGTTTTTCGATTTGGGTTTTAGGGTTCTTGATTTCACAAAAAAATGGTGTTCACAAAATCATTACTTGTTCTTCTTTTGTTCCTCTCTTGTTACACTACTACTTCATCTGCTTTGTTTAATCCGCCAGACAATTACTTGATTTCTTGTGGCTCATCACAAAACATAACTTTCCAAAACAGAATCTTTGTTCCAGATTCACTCCACTCTTCTCTTGTACTCAAAATCGGAAACTCTTCTGTTGCAACATCATCAACTACTTCCAATTCAACCAATTCCATCTACCAAACCGCTCGTGTTTTCTCCGGTTTAGCTTCTTACAGATTCAAAATCACTTCTTTAGGTCGACATTGGATCCGTCTTCATTTCTCACCAATCAAGAACTCTACTTGGAACTTAACCTGTGCTTCAATCACTGTCGTAACAGACGACTTCGTGCTCTTGAACAACTTCTCTTTCAACAACTTCAACGGCTCTTACATCTTCAAAGAGTACACTGTCAATGTCACTTCAGAGTTCTTGACCTTAAGTTTCATTCCTTCAAACAATTCGGTGGTCTTTGTCAACGCTATTGAAGTTGTCTCTGTTCCGGATAATCTTATCCCTGATCAAGCTTTGGCTCTTAACCCTTCAACACCATTTAGTGGTCTCTCTCAGCTTGCGTTTGAAACAGTCTATAGATTAAACATGGGAGGACCATTGTTGACTTCTCAAAACGATACATTGGGAAGACAATGGGATAACGATGCAGAGTATCTTCATGTTAATAGCTCTGTTCTTGTTGTAACAGCGAATCCTTCTTCGATTAAGTACTCTCCTTCTGTGACTCAAGAAACAGCTCCTAACATGGTTTATGCTACTGCTGATACAATGGGTGAGGCTAATGTTGCGAGTCCAAGTTTTAATGTTACTTGGGTTCTTCCTGTTGATCCAGAGTTCAGGTACTTTGTTCGTGTTCATTTCTGTGATATTGTGAGTCAAGCTTTGAACACGCTTGTTTTCAATCTTTATGTGAATGATGATCTTGCTCTTGGAAGTCTTGATCTCTCTACGTTGACTAATGGTCTTAAAGTTCCTTACTTTAAGGATTTTATCTCCAATGGTTCTGTTGAATCTTCCGGTGTTTTAACCGTTAGCGTTGGACCTGATTCGCAAGCTGATATCACGAATGCGACTATGAATGGGTTAGAGGTTTTGAAGATTAGTAATGAAGCTAAGAGCTTAAGCGGTGTTTCTTCTGTTAAGTCACTTGTTCCTGGAGGATCAGATAAGGAAAAGAAGAAAGCGGTGATCATCGGTTCCGCGGTTGGTGCGGTTACTGTGGTTCTGCTGATCGCGGTTTGTTGCTATTGCTGTTTGGCTGCTTCGAGGAAGAAGAGGTCGACGAGTCCTCAAGAAGGCGGTAATGGACATCCTTGGTTGCCATTGCCTTTATATGGACTCTCTCAGACTCTTACCAAATCAACCGCTTCTCACAAGAGTGCCACAGCTAGTTGCATTTCTTTAGCTTCTACGCATCTTGGCCGTTGCTTTATGTTTCAAGAAATCATGGATGCTACTAATAAATTCGATGAGAGCTCGTTGCTCGGTGTTGGTGGATTTGGTCGGGTTTATAAAGGAACTTTAGAAGACGGGACTAAAGTCGCGGTTAAAAGAGGTAACCCGCGATCTGAACAAGGTATGGCTGAGTTCAGAACCGAGATCGAAATGCTGTCTAAACTCAGACATCGACATCTCGTCTCTCTAATCGGTTACTGCGACGAGAGGTCTGAAATGATTCTGGTCTATGAGTACATGGCGAATGGACCGTTGAGGAGTCATCTCTACGGAGCTGATCTTCCTCCATTGTCATGGAAACAAAGACTCGAGGTTTGCATCGGCGCAGCGAGAGGATTACATTACCTACACACGGGTGCATCGCAGAGCATTATACACCGCGATGTGAAAACCACGAATATCTTACTGGACGAGAATCTAGTCGCTAAAGTTGCAGACTTTGGACTATCCAAAACCGGCCCTTCACTCGATCAAACCCATGTGAGCACGGCGGTTAAAGGAAGCTTCGGTTATCTCGACCCGGAATACTTCAGGAGACAGCAGTTAACAGAGAAATCCGACGTTTATTCGTTCGGTGTTGTCCTAATGGAAGTTCTCTGTTGCAGACCGGCTTTAAACCCGGTATTACCGAGGGAACAAGTGAACATAGCGGAATGGGCAATGGTGTGGCAGAAAAAGGGTCTACTCGATCAGATCATGGACAGTAACTTAACCGGTAAAGTGAATCCAGCATCACTGAAGAAATTTGGCGAAACTGCAGAGAAATGTTTAGCAGAATATGGCGTGGACCGGCCTTCTATGGGAGATGTATTGTGGAATCTGGAGTACGCGTTACAGCTCGAAGAAACATCTTCGGCTTTAATGGAACCTGATGACAATAGCACAAACCACATTCCAGGGATCCCAATGGCGCCAATGGAACCGTTTGATAACAGTATGAGTATAATCGACAGAGGAGTAAATTCGGGGACCGGGACTGATGATGATGCGGAAGACGCGACTACTAGTGCTGTGTTTTCGCAGCTTGTTCATCCTCGTGGAAGGTAGAAGAAGAAAAACACATTTGGTGAAACAAACAGAGACAGAGCATTGTTTGTTTTTGAAAAATTTACAGAAAGAAACATATTTATTCAAGACTTTTGGGTTGGAAACAACAAAATGATTCATTCAGGATTTATTTTCGAATTTTTACGGTGTATTTGTTTTGTAATATAGTGAGTACTGATGTTTTTTAAAAGCAAATCATGAATCAGAATGTGATTATATCTTTAACTTTTCAGATTTTTTAAAATTCATTATACATTTGTTTTGTTAATATCTCGATTATGAGTTAGTGTGACTACGACGTCGTTTTCAGTGTTTGAAAGAGGAGATAAAAAATTAAAATTACATATTTGCGGTGAGCGTGGATCGAACACGCGACCTTCAGATCTTCAGTCTGACGCTCTCCCAACTTTTGATATCTTACCAGAAATTTATTTTAACATACTGATTGTAACAAATTAATTTTTTTTAATAACACATTGACACTTTTCCCTCTGCACTCTCCATAAACTTATTGATTTGGATTAGTAGATTAAATAGTATTTATTGGAACAATATATATCATTAACGTTAATACAACATTAGAATATATAGTGAATGATACAATACAAATAGATTTCAAATTACATATTATTCCTTCACTTAATTATACTTTGGAAAATCTCCAGTAGAAGCTACTGCTCTCTGGCATTATTCTTCTTTTAAGCCAAGTTTATATGATTCTTTTTTACTTCCTGCACACGATTCCGTATCCAGAAGACGCTCCACGGGTACAATCCAAAGTTGCATATTTAATCTCTGACTTAACTAAATCAAACTCTGCTTGTGAGTCAGAGAAAATGCAAGTTTTACAGTCAGTGGAGAGGAGTGAAGAAGTTTTGAAGCTGTCTTCACCACCAACCACTGGCATTGCGACTCCAGGCTTAGCCGGATTTTGGAAATCGGGCTTGTAGGTTCGTCCCAAGATTCCGTCGACCTTAGGTGAAAGGTTGAAGAATCTGAATTGAACCTCAAGATGTGCAAAACAGTCATCTGATGGTACTTTGTAGCTATGGATTCTGTCGTCTTCTTTTGTCACTGGAACCACATTGATCATGATCTCGGCTTTGTCTTTGATTGTCACGATCACACTGTTTCTCATGCTCACTCTCTCAATCTTGATGTCCTTGTTTGGTGAGTACCTGTTTGTAAAGAAAACATATAAGTTTCAAGAATCCGGAAAAAAACAGAGGAAAATTGTTCCATAAAAGGTTTGTTTCAAGTATCAACCATGACATCACTATGTCACCATCCAGATTCAAGCTCACATGTTGTTGACATAAGAAATTAAATACTTACCAGGTGGAGAGAGTTTCTTCTGGGACAGATAAATCTTGGCCATCGAAACTGAATTTGAGATGGTCGATTTCGTTGTCCCATGAGGCGGTTTTCGCGGCTTCGAGGGAGAATTTGTGGGAGTTGAAGAGGAATCCTAGAGCTTGGATCCATGTGAAGTCTCTCGCACGACCAGCGGGTCTGTGACCAATGAACCTACCATTGATCTGAAGGTCAGAGTCAGAGACGAGGCTAAACTCTTCATTGCTCTTTCCATGGAAGTAAAACACAATGCCGTCTCCTCCAATAAACCTCGGGTCATAACAAGCTGATCCAGGTCTGTTGCAATTTGGTTTCCTCACTATAAAAAAACATTATGATCTTTACTTGAAAATGCACAAAACATGTGTGAAAGCTTTATGATTATAGAAATCGAAAAATCTTACTGCGGCATTGGGATTTGCAGGTAGGTCTATCGCAATCGGCGTAGCACACTTTGTTCTTGGAGCTCATAGCGGTTTTGCATGGACATTCCTCTGGACATCTAATGTACTTGCGGTAACATCGAGTGTAAGGGTTACTACAATAAACTCCAGCTGCCTTGGCTTGCAAGAAACAAGTTGCAGCCACCAGAGAAATCACTAGCAAAAGGGTTCTTGAGATCTCCATCTCTGTTCTTCTGTTTGATTAGAGAAGGATAGTGATTTGTTTGGTGATGATGAGAATTGTTGATTGTGAATTTATAGGAGTGAAAAGTCAAATCCTTGCTTAATAAAGGGGCTATTATGTTAATTAATTATTGAGATACAAGTTGGAGACTGTGTGCCTTTGGACGAACTTCGCGGTGACACCATTAACTATTTCACTTAACCTTTTTTTACTACTTCGTTTCTAAGCAAAAATATGACAATTTCTCCAATTTAAGGCACCGTTTTAAGATTAATTTTGTAATGACGACTATATTATAAATCCAAATGTTAAATGTTTAGTATAACGGTAAGAACATATATACGTCAAGAAATATATAAACATTGTAGATTTGATATATTATAAGAACGAAGTTATTAAATTGTTAGGAAAGAAAGCAGTGTGATCCACATTTATCGGTCCTAATAAACAGGACAATGACATTTTGTTGAGCATGTGTTATACATATAACCTGTGACCTGTTAGAATCTTTTGATATTGGTTCATTCATGGTGTTACAAGGATGATTTTATACGTGAACCAAGTATTATGTTTTCAGAAAAACTATAATTCATGTAATTATTCTCTATGGTTTTTTTTTTTTTTTTGGTTTTCTCAACCCAAGGAATTTGATTCTTAGGTGCTTAGATTTCTTTTTAGGTTAAGGTAAAAAAGTATCAAATTGTGTGGTTTAGTTTCTGATATTTCAAAGTAAGGTTCTATTTTTATTTTTTATTTTTTCATATCTATGCATCAATTGTACATTTTGAATTTCAAAATTTTCTACAAATACATGAATACTTTTATCTTACAAGAGCTGTTTCACATTCAAATAAAGTTTTTCTTTTACAAGTGTTGGTGTAAATTATATGGTGTCAATAATAGACGAATAATCTTGTAGATCTAATTATTTTAAAATGTGATATATCAGAAACCTATACATAACTTCATAAACTACTTTAAGTGACATGAATTGCTTGAGAATTTGGTTCTTAACCGGCCATATATATTATATACTATACTTGTAACTCTAGATACCTTGTGCCCGATTATCAACGGAAGAGAAGATAATGAAACTATACTAAAGTGACTTAGGATAAACTTAATCACAACTTCCGAACGATTATTATGAAATAAAACAAGTCAAACTATTTTTCATTCATGGATCTAAAATCATGAATCATTAGTGATTTTAATATTCATGAATACTTTCCTCCAAAATATCAATGAAAAGTTGAAAATGAATACGTTCCTCCAAAATATCAATGAAAATTTGAAAATATAGCGGATATAAAAGAGGAGATAAGAAAATCCAAACTAAATGAAATTAAGAAAGATTTGTTAGTTTATTTTTCTGAATTTTAGTTCTGAAATATCAAGGCTGTGTCGTTTTGGAGGAGAACTAAAATTAAGAAATAAAATGCGGTGAGCGTGAATCGAACACGCGACCTTTAGATCTTCAGTCTGACGCTCTCCCAACTGAGCTATCCCCGCGATGACATCAGAACCTAAACAATATAATATAGACGAAACAATTACAAAACCTTATGCAATAGAAAAAACAATTACAAATCTTTTGTGAAATTCCTAGTCAGGTGCTTCATCAACATAGATAGCGACACGACTCACGACCAATAAGAATCTCAGTATCTTATATAAACCGTGATCGGTGAGATTAGAAGCTTTTTTTTTTGTCCTAGCCTCCTAGGTTTGGTTTTAGAGGCACAAACAATAAACAATCGCGAGGTTTGGATCTCGATAATCATATCCCTTTTTTTCCCCTCTATAAGTTATATGATTCTCGTCTAATTATTTCTGTCTTGTTGCTTATAATTTTGATTAGTTAATTTCTGTCTCGTCGGTGTGTTTTGGTTTTAGGGTGATCTCGAGCGTTTAGGGAATGGATCGTGAAAATAATGGCAAAGATAGATGCCGTTATTTCCGCAAAAAGTTATATAAGATTGTGGATGATCCTTCAACGAATTCAATAGTTTCATGGAGCAATAACGGGAACAGTTTCATCATTTGGAATGAATCTGAGTTTTGTAGAGATGTTCTTCCAAGATTCTCACATTATAAGGAGATGGCACCGTTCATCCGCCGGCTTGGAAACATGGGCTTTAAGAAGGTTGAATCTGAGGAATTGGAATATGGAAGCGACGATTTTGTATTGGGCCTCATGGGCTTAGCTTAGTTGGTTTTGATTAATGTATTAGGTTAACTTCATGCTTAAGTTGTAACCTCTATATAAAGGAACCAACATGGAACCTAAACACTAAGAAATCAAGATTATACGATCAAGAGTTCTTTGACATGGTATCAGAGCCGGAAACCTAAATACAAAAGGGTTTTGCTCGATCTAAAGATCTAAAACTTCCGCTTAAACACTCAATTTTTTCTGTTTCTAATTTCTTTGACCTAAATTTCGATACTCTCTACATCGAAATCTTCTTATGGCTACATCATCTTCTACTTCATCTTCTTCCTCTTCTGCTTTAACATCCGTTTTAGCACAGCCAAGAGTTGAGACTAGAAGAAGGATATCGCCATATGATATAACCTCAGGAGACAATCCCGGCACCTTGATCTCCAAGCCTTTGCTACGCGGTCCTAACTATGATGAATGGGCCAACAACCTTCGCTTGTCTCTAAAAGCAAGAAAGAAATTCGGCTTCGTCGACGGTACTATACCTCAGCCACCGGAAGACGACGTTGATTTTGAAGACTGGATCGCCAATAACGCTTTAGTGGTGTCGTGTATTAAACTCACGATTGAAGAAAAACTTTCATCCTCTATCTCTCACATCAATGATTCTCACGAACTCTGGATACATATTCAGAAGAGATTTGGAGTGAAAAATGGACAAAGAGTCCAAAGGTTGAAGACAGAGCTCGCCAACTGTAGACAAAAAAGACTTGCTATTGAAGCTTATTATGGCAAGTTAACTCAGCTGTGGGGCAGTCTCGCAGATTATCAGAAAGCTAAGACAATGGAAGAGGTTCGCAAGGAGCGTGAGGAAGATAAATTACATCAGTTCCTTATGGGTCTCGACGACAATCTTTATGGAGCCGTAAAATCTAACTTACTCTCACGCATTCCTCTCCCGAGTCTTGAAGACGCATATAATGCTCTCTGTCTTGATGAAGAATCCAAAAACGTGAATAATAATCATGAAGAAAGAGCCGATGGAGTCAGCTTTGTTATTCAAACAACTACACCACGCACTGCGTTTGAAAACAGAGGAGGCTCTGTTTCGTGTACCATCTGCGGTCGCACCGGCCACATCGCCGACAACTGCTTCCGTAAGATTGGTTACCCGGACTGGTGGATTGAAAATGCCAAGACAAATACTCGAAACAGGTCTGGAAAATCAACCGGTGCTAGTCGTGGAATAACAACAACATCGGTGGGTTCAAAAAGCTCCACGACTAGTCAAGTAAATCATGTCTCGGCTAGCTTGAACACAGCGTCAGCTCCCTCTACATCCACATCTCCGTTAACTGCTGCAGACCGTGTTGGAATCATTGGTTTGAGTAATGAAGAATGGGACTCATTAGTGCAGACACTTGCAAACCGGAAACTCAACAACACCAATAACCTTTCGGGTAAGTACTTCATTGAATCATGGATTATAGATACTGGTGCTTCTAATCACATGACAGGCACTCTTGAGTTCTTACTTGATGTTCGCGATATGGCTCCTGTTCTTATCAAACTACCCGACGGTCGTTACACTATGGCCAATAAACAGGGTTGTGTCTCGCTTGGTTCCACGTTGTGTCTTCAGGACGTATTTTTTGTTGATGGGCTGAAGTGCCATCTCATCTCAGTTTCACAGTTGACTAGAGAACGTCATTGCGTATTTCAGATTACTGATCGGCTTTGTATTATTCAGGATCGCATCACCAAGACCCTGATTGGCGCAGGTGAACAAGAGAACGGTCTTTATTTTTTAAGAGGAGTGGAAGTTGCTGCAGCCATTCATTCAGTGGATTCGTCATCTATGGAATTATGGCACTCACGTTTGGGACATCCTTCCTCTAAGGCTTTGGATATGATTAAGTTTTTGGATTTTAGTACTAAGTTTGATTCAACGGCTTGTGACGTTTGTATTAGCGCTAAACAGACCAGAGAATCTTTTCCTTTGAGTTATAATAAGACGAGTGTTGCTTTTGAACTTATTCACTGCGATCTTTGGGGTCCTTACCGCACTCCTTCTATTTGCGGTTCTCGATATTTTCTAACAATACTTGATGATTATTCGAGAGCTGTTTGGATTTATTTACTTCCTTCAAAACAAGAAGCACCTTTGCGACTCAAGGATTTTATAACTCTCGTTGCACGACAATTCGTTGCTCAAGTTAAGATTGTTCGGAGTGACAATGGATCCGAATTTATTTGCTTAAAGGATTATTTTGCTGAACACGGGATCATACACGAAACATCTTGTGTTAGTACTCCGCAACAAAATGGACGCGTTGAAAGGAAGCATCGCCATATCTTAAACGTAGCTAGAGCTCTCCGTTTTCAAGCCAATCTTCCAATTGAATTGTGGAGTTATTGCGCCTTGACAGCTTGTTATCTAATTAATCGTACTCCGACTCAAATACTTGACGGGAAAAGTCCTTTTGAACTGATATATAAACGTCCTCCACCAATGAATCATATTCGCGTTTTCGGTTGTCTATGCTACGTCCATAACCAGAAACATGGAGGTGATAAATTTGCACCGCGGAGTACCAAAGCTGTTTTTCTAGGCTATCCATTTAGAAAAAAGGGCTGGCGGGTTTATAACATTGAAACTGGAGTGGTGACAGTTTCCCGCGATGTTATTTTTCGCGAATCTGTGTTTCCTTATACTATCGAGCTGAACACGTCATTGTCTTCTTCCCCGAGCTTAAGTAATGACAACATAGTTTTGCTTCAAGATAATGACGATCTTGATGTTGATCAATTTGATGCACCAGCCACTGACATTTCACCATCTCCTCGGGAAAATGGGTCGTCGCAGCCTCCAGAACACGACTCTGTTTCGCCTACTCCGACCTCTGCATCATCTACTCCGTCACCTGCAGCCGTAATCACAGACATAACCCCTGTTACATCCACATCTCCGGTTGATCATGCTACTTCCGATGATGATGTAACAGCCACAAACATCACGCCATTGACCTCTAGTGATGAGGAAACTGTCTCCGAGCCAGAGAAACTTGGTTTCGGGTATCGTAAGAAACAACCACCAGCGAAGCTTGCCGATTACGTGACTTCTCTTGTTTACACTCCTTCTCCGTCCGCCACGCCGTATCCAATCGACAATTACCTATCCAGTTCGCAATTTTCAGAAAAATATCAAGCTTTTGTACTTGCTATCACTTCAAGTCATGAACCAAAAACATATCAAGACGCCATTGCAGATGAAAATTGGAGATACGCCGTGAAAGATGAAATCGAAGCATTAGAAGAGAATGGTACTTGGACTGTAGAGGATCTTCCACATGGAAAGAAACCAATTGGCTGCAAATGGGTTTTCAGATTAAAATTCAATGCCGATGGTTCTCTTTAACGTCACAAAGCTCGACTAGTGGTCCTAGGAAACAATCAAAAAGAAGGCATCGATTACGAAGAAACCTTCGCGCCCGTCGCCAAAATGATTACAGTTAGAGCTTTCTTACAACAAGTTGCGTCTCTTGATTGGGAAGTTCATCAAATGGATGTGCATAACGCGTTTCTTCACGGTGACTTAGACGAGGAAGTTTACATGACATTTCCTCCGGGTTTTCGCACAGATGATAATAAGAAAGTGTGTCGTCTACGCAAGTCACTCTACGGTTTGAAACAAGCTCCACGTTGCTGGTTTGCCAAGCTTGGTGGTGCTATGAAAACATACGGTTTTGAGCAAAATTACTCCGATTACTCCTTATTCACTCTCGAAAAAGGTGATACTCGTCTTCATGTCCTTGTATACGTCGATGATTTGATAATCACGGGCAGCTCAATTCACGTTGTTAACAAGTTCAAGCATTACTTAAGCACATGTTTTCACATGAAAAATCTTGGACCCTTAAGGTATTTTTTGGGAATTGAAGTAGCTCGCAGCCCTGAAGGGATCTACTTGTGTCAACGCAAATACGCTCTCGACATTATCGCAGAAACGGGTCTCATGGGCGTCAAGCCTATCACTTTCCCTTTGGAGCAAAATCACAAGTTGTCTCTTGCAAAGGACGACGCTTTTCATGATCCTTCTCGTTACCGCCGTCTTGTTGGTAGGCTCATATACTTGGGGAATACAAGACCAGAGATGTCATATGCCATTCACATCTTATCTCAATTCATGAATAATCCACAACAAGCTCATTGGAATGCTGCTCTACGCGTTGTTCGTTATTTAAAGAATAGCCCCGGTCAAGGTATACTACTTCGGGCCAACACGTCTTTGACTTTAAATGCTTGGTGTGACTCCGATCATGGTGCTTGTCCTATCACTAGTCGTTCTCTCACCGGCTGGTTTATACAACTAGGCGACTCACCATTGTCTTGGAAAACGAAAAAACACGACGTCGTATCGCGTTCATCGGCCGAAGCAGAATATAGAGCCATGGCCGACACCGTAAGTGAACTACTCTAGATCCGTGAACTACTACCAACGCTTGGTATTGAGGTTACTGCTCCCATTACTCTTCATTCCGACAGTTTATCTGCGATTATGCTTGCTGCGAATCCGGTGTTCCATGCTCGAACCAAACATGTCGCTCGGGATGTTCATTTTGTCAGGGATGAGATTATTCGAGGTGTCATCGCTACAAAACACGTTTCCACCACTAGTCAACTCGCAGACATTATGACGAAGGCTTTGGGAAGACAACAATTCGAAGATTTTCTTGTCAAGCTGGGTGTTTGTAACCTCCACACTCCACCTTGAGGGGGGGTATTGGGCCTCATGGGCTTAGCTTAGTTGGTTTTGATTAATGTATTAGGTTAACTTCATGCTTAAGTTGTAACCTCTATATAAAGGAACCAACATGGAACCTAAACACTAAGAAATCAAGATTATACGATCAAGAGTTCTTTGACATTTTGTGAGAGGTCATCCTGAGCCTGATCTTTCGCCAGAAGCAGTGAGAGCGAGACTTAAGGAGTTGGCCTTGGCTTCAAGGAAGGAGTTGTGTGGATCGAAAACGTTACGTTCAGATGTTTAGTTTGATGCTCTTTTCCCACAATAACATCAAAACATAAACAATACAAAAGCTAGTCAGATGCTTCATCATTATAGAGCTAGAGACACGACATGAGATGTCTTGAAACAGCTTGTCTTAGAATCTCACTAGTGTGGTTTGCAAAGTGAAAACATACAAATTTGCATGATGAATAGTCTTTCATTATAATAAAAATATATATATATATATATATATATATATATTGACTTTCATTGGTTTGAGAAAACAATCCAGTTCATCCAGTAGACAATTCTCAATACTATCAACTTCTAGACCTCGATCTTCATGCTATCGAATAAATGTCTACAAGAAATTATCTTAGAAAAGAGATTTCTCTTGAACAAGATAAACAAAATAGTTTGGATTTTTGTTTAATAGAAAGGACCTTTGAAGAATGGAGTCTAAGTTTTATCCTGATTGAAGTATAATTATCTCTTTGTAAAAAAGTTTGGGGTTTTTTTTTATTTTGGGCTTAATACAAAGTAACCGTATAATAACCAATCCACAAACTTGGATGGGCCCGATTAGTTACTCTAAAACCGAATGAAATCAATAGATAATAAACCGGAACCAGCGAAACCCTAATCGGCAAAAGAACCTCTGCCTCTTATTTTTTGGGAGGTTACAACAAATATAAGATCGGAAAGAGTCCCTTGATATTTCTGTCTCTTACAAGTTAACAACCAATGAAGATAATTAATGTCTCTTTAACAAATGATTTTAAGCAAAATGCAGAATTTCTTTAACCTTTGAAAAATAAATTCGCTTACGAATAACTGGACCATGAATTTGGAAAATTGCAGAAATTTTAGAGCAATCATGAGATAAAGGAATTGAAGAAAAGGGACTGATGAATTAATCGAAACATTACACTAAACGGAAAGAGAACATTTGAAAGACAACAAAGAAACAAAAAGAGAAAAACAAATGCATGAAAAAAGAAGAAGAGAGGTGAACATAAGTCTCAATAGAAAACTGAAAACTGAAAAACTCAAAGGGACATAGATAAATTACTACTCGCGTCTTGATCTTTTTTTCTTGTTCAACCAACTTATTGTCACGATATCCTCCTCCTCCTCATCATCATCATCATCATCATCTTCAATCACCACGACTTCCTTTCCCCCCTTTGAGATGAGACTTTTTGAGTTACTAGAGCCCGAACCATTCTCTTGTAAAGAAAGCGAAAGATCGGTGGTGGTTCGAGAAGGAGTAGCAAAAGGAGGCACCATGGCTATGTTCTTTTCCATTGAGATGAGACTTTTTGAGTGACTAGAGCCCATTCCATTATCTTGTAAAGAAAACAAATCAGGACAAGCATTGTTGTTTCCATAAGGAGGAGCAAAAGGACGCACCATGAATCTGTTTTCCCCCTTTGAGATGAGGCTTGAGTGGCTAGAAACCCAACCATTAAACAAATCATAACAAAGATTGGTGGTTGGATAAGGTGAAGCAAAAGGAGGCATCATGGCTTTGTTCTGTGCCATTAAGAAGAGACTTTTTGAGGGGCTAAAGCCCGAACCATTCCCCTGTAAAGAAAACAAATCAGGACAAAGATTGTTGTTTCCATACGGAGGAAGATACCTAGTGTTTGGATCAACCGGGTTTCCAGCACCAAAATTGTATCCAGACACACAAGGACGCATGGGAGTGAACACATTCCCAGGGAACGATGGGTTAGTGCTATTGTTGCTGCCTCCTGTGGACTTAGACGATGGACCAAGAGTGAGATCAAGATTAATATCATCTTGTAGCTGCTACCGCCTTGGCCATACATAAACGGGCCGGAAGAGAGGAACGGAAAGCTTTGGAAAGGAGCAAGAGAAGTACCACCAGAAGGCATCGAATCGGTCATCTTCCGCTTGTAGCTGCTACCGCCTTGGCCATACATAAACGGGCCGGAAGAGAGCAATGGAAAGCTTTGGAAAGGAGCAAGAGAAGTACCACCAGAAAGCTTCCGCTGCTTCTCCAATTCTCGCTCCTTTTTGTGGCACTTCAGGTGACCGCCTAGGGCATAACCATTTTTGAACACCTTCTGGCAAAAATGACAGAAGTGGATCTTGTTAGTCTTGGGACGATATAGCACGGTATTGTTTTTCGTTCGGACAACTTCAAATCCGAAAGTAGGCAACTCAAGGATCGTGTTTTCAGCCACAACCTCTTGAGGAGACCTTTGTTCCGGATTGTTCCTTGTCTCCTTCTCCTCCACGGTTACAACGGGACTTTTGAGTTTTTGATCAGGTTTTTGTGGGGAGGAGGAGGAGCTTGAAGAAGACATAGATTGGTTCTCCATTGTTTTGTAAAACTTTGCTGAGAGGTAGAAGTGAGTGATGATGATGTCTCATCTCCGGAGACGTATGCTATTTATTGAGGGATTAATTAATGTGTTGAACTCTCGTTAAGGTATAAAATCTCCAAGGGTAACAACTATTAATTGTAACAGTAAAGCTACTTTGAATACATTGTTTTGTTTAAAAGAAATAGTTGTGTCTCTAACTATCTTGGCTTTATTCTTTATTTTTTCTACAATGATACTTCGTATGTTAAAATACACCAATTTAATTAATATAATTCAAATTTGACTAGATTTTATTTACATGATGTGTTATATATAACTACCATGAAAAATATTGTTGTTTTTCTAACCATGTTGGTTTTATACATTTTGTCTTCCAAAATAATAGTTTTGTGTTCATTATGTACCAACTGGCTTTGTATGATCTAAAATTTATTTTCTCAGTTCAAATATAACTATCTATAATTGTTACATTATATACATGATTATGTGTAAGAGTAAAAAATAATAATTTAAAAATATCTCTTTTCATAGTTTTAAAAATGACGGGCTTTAGTTCGTTAAATCGACCATTGCAAACGGCTAACTCTTCCACAAAAGAGAATGTTATGCTTTCATATAGCTATTTATTTATATATATGACAAAAAAATATTAACTGATATGTAACAAAACAATCTAATAATAAGCTAATACAAGATTATATTTTCTAATTTTCACCTATTTTCTCTATTATATACATATAGCAGATACAAAGAAACGGAAACACAGTATATAGAAAATTAAATTTTAAGTTATTTTACTTACAAACTCCAGCTATGTCTTAGTCAGCTTTACTACATTTGCTTATTTTTTCTTATCCTGACTTAATGATAAATAGAAATGGTGTATTTTCCTTATTTATATTGTTTACAGTTTCTTACTTTCTATGTTTTCTTTTGTTTCTTTGCTTTTTATTTACTTTCGGCATACTTACTAGGAAAAAAATACCCACAATGAAGGCAATTTTAAATAATGATAGTGTTTTGTTCAAAAAATTAAAATAAATAATGATGGTGCATGAACTTTAAAGAATGCCAGTTTTAATATTCCTAAAATGCATTTTCAGTCATATATATTTAGAAGATATAACATGTGAATAGTTGACTACCATTAACGCCATGTTTTTCTTTAATTAGTGGCCCTATGGACAAATTTTCCCAACATACATTAGTTATCCATAAGACCATAACTAAGGACTTATCACCACACATAATTTTTACTAGGTATTCAATTTTTACAGAAATATAAAAAAAATTGGGGAAATCATTATATGCCAAGATTACAGTTATTCCAAATTTTATTTTTCTTTAACAAAAAACTTTGATCCAAATATAGATAATAAACCTATTCGACGTAAATGATCCAAACAAAAACTTGTTTGAACCAGATACTTAATTTGCGTTGTACGGAAAAGTTAATTATAAACAAATTCTTTTCCTAAATATAACTGAAAACAAAAAATATTTAATTGAAAAATTAACTAATATAAAGTTGAATTATTAAAATGCTGCCAGTTTTTCATTAAAAGATTGTAATATATAATTGAAATGTTGAGGTTCTCTATCCAGCTAGTGTGTCAAATGTTGTAGTGATGCAAAAGAAAATGAGGCAAATGTGGTAGCTAGTGGTACAAAGATAAATGAATAATAGATAGTGTGCATCGATACCACATGTACAAAATATCAAGCTCTATTGCTCCACATTGGAAAAACGAACTACTCATATTCTCACATACAAACAGATCCAACTGAAATCTAAAACCAAGAAAAACCGTTTTAGTCACACATCCATTGTAATCAGTTGTTAATGTATGTCATTGGGTAAAATAATGTGAGAGCCACTTATAAGAGATCTGTTAACAACATGTTTAATGTTTTTTTTTTTTCTTCCGAAAGTGTCTTTTTATATGTTATCAAAGTACAGCTATTCCAACAATGTTTGATGTTTAAGAATACAAAACCATAAATGTTGATATATATTAATATGGATGATATATATGCGCGTCAAATTATTTGAGGTTGGTTGACCACATCAAACATTTGGACAAGTGCCTCCGAACATTCGAATGTTTAAGATAAAACAAAATCCTACAAAATGTTTGTGTGAGACATCTTATAGGAAATCCTTCGGGTGTCTCTTGTCCCAACAAACAGAGAAGTAAATTATGACAAAAATAAAGTCATATAAAATATACTTCACCGTCAAACATAAAGGATTGTTCCCATCAATCTAGTTCCCGATATGATATCAAGCGCATACTTACGTTGATAAGGTAGATTCCCATTGAATTTCTTGCAACTTCAACTCCTAGCTAAAAAATATTTTAGAGGTCTGAGATCCTTCCTTTACCCTACATAAGACTTATTTTCTATCACTAATGTTCCATCATACTTTATGTGAGACATCTCGCAAATCAAATCAAAACAAGTCCGATTGGGAAACGTAACTCTAGGCCACGAAGTGAAATCCATTCATTTCTAGAAATAGACGATATATAGTCGTTGCAATGATATATAGAGAACCTGAGAATTTCAATTCTATATCATCACTCGAGTTACTTTCCAAAATATTCAAAATTCCAGTTTTGTAAACTTTGTGTTACCAAATTTTCCTAAGTATCTTAACCTCCTCATATCACAAATTGTAAACCGTAAATTGTGACTAGGATAACATTTTATTATACCAGACTCTAGATTCCAATTTTCTGCATATGGTTTCTTAAATTCAATATTTTGTATATATAGGTTCAATAACTAGACTATATTCATTAACATTAATATATAAAAAGGATAATTATCTTCTTTTTTTGTTAAAAAAAAATCCTGAAAGCAAAGATGATGACATGTGTAAAACAAATTTGGGAGGTTACAAGTATACAACACTAATAATAAGATCGGAAAGACTAATATATTTTAAGTTGAATCGATATAACGTCTCGTTAACAAAGGGTTTCAAGCAAAACTCAGAATCTCTGTGGCTTTTGAAAGATAAAATTCGCCTACAAATAATTAGACAATGACTTTTGAAAATTGCAGAGATCTTTAGAACAATCATGAGATATAAGCATTGAAAAATAAAAGGATTTATGAAATAATCAAAGCTTAACAAATCGCAAAAGAACATTTATATATAAGACAAGAAGGAAACAAAAAGAGAAAAACAATTGAATGAAAATATGAGATCAAATACCTCAATAGTTATAAGATACCTCTAAACTGAAAGCGAAATACTAAATAATGCATAGAAAACTTAATAAATAATAATAACGCCCAATCTTCTTCTACTGATGCTTATCATCATCTTCAGGCACCATGACTTTGTTCTTTCCCTTTGAGAGGAGACTTTATGAGTGACTTGAGCCCGAGCCATTCTCTTGTAAAGAAAACGAATCATGAAAAAGATAAGTGTTTCGATGAGGAGGAGCAATAGAAGGATCAGGAATATTTCTAGTGATTGAATCAAGCGGGTTTCCAGCAACAAAATGGTATCTAGACACACGGGGACGCACGGGAATGATCATATTCGTGGTTTTTCTAGTGACTTCCTCATTGACATATGAGTTAGTTATGTTGTTATCGTTGCTGCCTCCTATGGAGTTAGAAGGACCGAGAGTAAGGTCAAGATTAATATCATTTGGTAAATCATGTGAGCTATAGTTGTTCATGTTCATGTCTGTGACTCCAACATTAACCAACGGGTAAACGTTGCTGCTGCTGCTGCTACCTCCTATGGACTGACCAAGAGAGAGTCCAAGATGATTATCATTTGATAAAACATCTTGTGAAGACCCACCAAAGATCAAGTTAGACTTGTCTTTGTTAGAAAGCCTTGACTCGATCTGGATCTTCTGCTGCCTCTCCAATTCTTGGTCCTTCTCGGTGGTTCCGTGACCGCCAAGGGCATGAGGGGTCTGGAACACTCCCTTGCACAAGTAACAGATGTAGATCTTATTATAATACATGTCCGGATTGTTCACTGTCTCCTCCTCCAGGACCTCCACGGCCACAACGGAACTTTTGAGTTTTTGATCATGTTTGTGTGGGCAGGAGCTTGAAGAAGACATAGATTGGTTCTCCATTACAATTTGTTTGTAAAATTTAATTTGCTGAGAGTTATAAAGTTATGTGATGTCTTATCTCTTTTGTGTGATTTAGGGAAAGGGAAACGCTATTTATTGAGTGCATTATTAATTATGTTTCTCTATTTTAAGGTATAAAATCTCCAAGAGGAAAAAAATATTAATTGAAACCATAAAATTACTTTGAATTCAATAGTTTTGTTTAAAAGATATTGGTGTGTCTCTAACTATCTAGAGTTTAGACTTTCTGTTCTTTAAAGTGCCATTTCACGTACGTGTCAAAATACACCAATTTAAGTTATAGTTCAATTTAAATTTCAATATCTTATATTTGCACGAGTGTTTGATTATATAATTTTTTTGTTTTTAAATATGGTTGTTTCTCTCTAACCATATTGATTTTACTCATTTTGTCTTCCAAAATAACAGTTGTGTGTGATTCATGTACCAATTGGCTTTTTATAATCTGAAATTTATTTACTCATTTCAAAAATAAGGCATGATTATGTGTAAAAGCATATAAAAATAATTTATAAACTATCTCTTTTCATATTTATTAAAAATGGCGCGCTTTGGTTCGTTAAATTGACCGTTGCAAACTACTAACTCTTCTATAAAATCGAAAGTCATTTTTCTTGTTAACTGATATGTTAAAATAAATAACAATTAATAAACCAAGTAATCAAAATATTATATTTAATACTCTTTCTGTTTAATAATAAGTGTCGTTTAAAGTTTTTATACAAATATTAAGAAACCAAATAAATTTTCTGTTTTACGCCTTATCTATATATATCATTTTTTCATTGGTCAGGACATTAAATTAATAAGGCTAAAACTGAAAATTTTACCAAATATATGCATTGAAAACACAAAACCACACTTATTTGAAAACAAAATTCAAAATCTAAAACGACACTTAATATAAAATTATTTTCATTTATTGAACGATTGCAAATACAAAAAAACATAAACGCACTTATATATAGAAAATTAAATTTTAAGTGTTTTATAAACATTGCACTTGCCACTCCAGCTATGTCTTGTTCAGCTTTACTCCATTTATTGATTCTGCTTTCTCATTCTGACTTAATATTGATAATAGAAATTGTGTATTTCCTTAATTATGTTGTTTTCGGTTTCTTAGTTTCTTCTTTTTTACTTTCGATATACTTATTAGGGGAAAGAGGTGCATGAACTTTATTTATTCCCGGCCAGTCATATATATTTAGAATATATTATCAAGAATACGATTAACGCCATGTTTTTCTTTAGTGGCCCTATGAAACTATTGGACAAATATACTCTATTGGCTGATCTGGTTAATGTTAATAAAAACTTATGGACAACGTGCTTATCAAATCATTTGAGGTGGTTTCCAAACATTCGAAAGTTTTAAGATGAAACTAAATACTAAATATTTGTCTGAAATATCTTCTAGGAGATTTCTTGGTATGTTTGTGACCCAACAAAACATAGAGGTAAATTCTAACAAGATCAAAGCCACATATAATATATTTTTTACCGTAAAACATAATAGAATTCTAGAAACACCCAAGAGAGAATAGTGGCTCTGAGAGAGTTGATTGTACACTCGCCCAAAATAGTTATCTTTTTTTTCAAATGACTATACAACGCGCATATTTATAAATGGGCTAACTAGAGCGAAAAGGTCCTCTAATACAACTAAAAGGTACTTGGATAAATAATCTTTGTTGGGTAAACCTTAGGCAGACGAGCCCATTGTTAATATATTTGGTAGATTCACCCCACGTTGTGACTTAGGTGTTAGTTCGAGAAGCAAAAGTAAGCAGTCGTCCATTTACTATATGAGTAAAACCTTGCTTCTAGATGTGGAATATATACTCATGAAAAGTTGGTCCTCACACTGATAACAAAGAAGGAAGGCTATATATGACCATATTTCCAAGCTCATCCCATCATAATCGCGACGTCGCAGCCCCTAAAAAGCATATTACATTGCCAAAGTTTGTCGCATAAATCTCTTCTAAAGGCGACTTAAAATGGAAATATAGTAAGTGGATCTATGTTCAAAACTGGAAAGTATATGTGGATGGAGTTAGAAACCTTAGAAGGCCTCGGGTTAAGAGTTGTGATAACTCTCGATGAGATTCCACATGTACAGATAAGTGAAGTGTTACTAAGACCAAACCGATAACTGAGGTTTAGAGCTCGCGATAGACCACTTCTTTATTAGACTATAAATTTTTTAATTAGGTTTATTCACACACAACATATCATAGTACATTACCTAATACCCATTAAATTTAGAGTTTGTCTAATGTTAGGATTAGTTTCGCATTGACAACAAAATATCATTTTGAAATTTAAGAAGCCAAAAGATAATAATATACTATATTTTTTTTGAAATAAAATTTGTTTTGGTTGGAACATTCGTTGACTCATCACATCAGATAAAATCTTAGCAAATAAAATATGTCGCGTCCCATAAATATCACATAAATAAACAAAGAAATTGGAATCAATACAACAACAACTCCATAACAGGTGAGATGGCCATGTGATTTATTTCCCACCCGCAACACTCTAAATCTTATATATGACCAATCAAAAAAACACTTAACCGCCATGTAAACCGACCTTATTTTCGATAAATCAAAACCAAAGTAGTAGTAATTTACATTAAAACTAATTAACCACTTTTATATGATTACACTTCACAAATATTCGTGTGTTTATAAGTGTAATTACCCAGTCACCGAATTATTTACAATTAAACCGAAATGAATTTAAACCGAACCAAATTGAAAATCAAACCGAATTAGTAAACCAGTACCATAATCTGAACGGTCCAAAGAGTATTGACCCATCTCTCTCTCTTGGTCGCTCGTTCTCAAAGGACAAAAACCAAAAGGATTTTTCTTTTTCAAGAGGAAGAAGAAGAGAGAGATATTGAAGAGCGCTGAAGGCGGAAAAGACTGTTTTGACCTCGTCGTCTCCGTAGATCATTTTTCTTCAGCTCTTCTTCTTCCTCTTTTGCCGATTCTTCTCCGATTCTCCTTCTTCGATTTTATCTACCCGCCATGAACGAGAAAGCCAACGTCTCCAAGGAGCTTAATGCCCGCCATAGAAAGGTCTCGAATCTCTGATTTTTTGTTTTTTTTTTTTTTCTCCGAGCTTTGTGGATTTGGGAATCTATGATCGATCTCAATTCGATTGGATCTGTGTTTTAGCAGCTATCGTTCTTCATTTTCTTCGACTTCCTGTAGTTAGGAGAGGTTTTGTATCGTCGATCCTTCGCTTTTCGATCGATTGAGCTAGAATATTATTCATCAGCAATGAAAATCGGTTTATCTATTTCGATTTGTTGTCTAAGAACAACAACAGATCACGATCGGGTTTTTGAATTTATGATGATTGTTCTATTCAACCCCGGCTCATTGAATGTTGAATTCTAGTGTTTTCCTATTGAAATTCGTTTTCAATTGCTTGATTTTTGGAAACAATGGAACAAAGGGATCCAAGGAGCTTAGCGTCCCCTAGGGATTTTCATTTGTGCTTGGTAGGCTTTGAGTTATCTCCCGTGTTTGAAACTATTGGTTGTAGTTGGGACAGCTTTTGTGGGTTGGTGATGCATACATGTTTTATAGAAATGATGTATGTCAAGTCTTCGAGAACTTCGGTGTTCATTTACAGAAACTTATCTCCTACCTGTGGCTGCAAAGATAATTTTTTCGTTTATAGAGTCTATTGCTTGAGTATTCACTTGATTTTGGTGTTACTTATTTGCAGATTCTTGAAGGGCTTCTTAAACATCCAGAGAACAGGGAATGTGCTGACTGTAAAACAAAGTATGGTTTTCTACCAGATGTGAATTATCAGCATTATTATGCTGGTTCATTTATATATTCCATTTGCCTTGCAGAGGTCCAAGATGGGCTAGTGTTAATTTAGGTATCTTTATCTGCATGCAATGTTCTGGGATTCACAGGAGTCTTGGGGTACACATATCAAAGGTTGTCTCTCAGTTTCCTTTCTACATTTGTTTTCGTGATACTGCATTTGTATACGAAAGCTCAGATATTAATTCGATTAATAACTCATTCCATTTGGCTCAAATTCTCTGTACAAATTTTCAATTTGGTTTTCTGCTCGGTTTCTATATTTGCAATTTCATTTTATATTTTCCATCACAAGAGCTGAAAAGTCTGACATGAATGCATTAAATCTCCCCACCTCCTTGTGCCACCATTTCCTTAACTAGAAAAAATTGTCATCTATCCAGTGTTTACACACGAACTTCAAGCATTTCTGTACAAAAAGTACATAATTCGGTTTTTCCCTCTGATTTTTGTATGAGCTGGGTCCTTCTTGTCGAGTAGATGTTAACTTTAGAAGCATAAGCTACTTTTTTCTTCTACCAAAAAATCTGAGTGGGCTGATGAGTGCAGGTTCGATCTGCCACTCTGGACACATGGCTCCCCGAGCAGGTTGCATTTATACAGTGTAAGTGTCTTTCAAACTTAGTGCTCTATGACTGATCCAGGAGTTGGTTACCCCATGTAAGGTATATAATCTTTTATATGCATGCAGCTATGGGAAATGAGAAAGCAAATAGTTACTGGGAAGCAGAGCTACCCCCAAACTATGATAGAGTTGGAATTGAGAATTTCATACGTGCAAAGTATGTATCTCTCTTTTTCATTGTACAAACTTTTCAGTTAGTTCCACCTCATTGAACTGTCTATCTTGCTATTCATATGGACGCTGAAATCATTCTTGTGATATATGACTTTTCTAGGTATGAAGAGAAGAGATGGGTTTCTAGAGGGGAAAAGGGTAGATCACCCCCTAGAGTCGAGCAGGAACGACGGAAATCTGTGGAGAGAAGCGGGCCTGGATATGAGCATGGGCACAGTAGTAGTCCTGTAAATTTGTTTGAGGAGAGGAAAACTATTCCAGTATCTAGAACAAGAAATAATGTTGGTGCAACAAGGATAAGTCTTCCCGTGCCTCCCCAAGGACCCAGTCAGGTACCAAAAATACTTCTCAGAAGATCTGTATAACTAAACAGCCTTACATTTAGTTACTCATCATTATTAAGAATCCGTATTCCTTGATCTTATTTAATAATCTTAGGATAGCAGCTATGAGATCATTATTTTTGTCAATGCATATGCTGTAGCTGTCAGATCATTATTTAACTCACTGTGTTTTTAGGGCCTCATAATCTTTCAACGTCTCTTTCTTACAGTATCCAAACCCCGGGTTTTCTGATACATGATGCTAAAAAATAACAGGTTATAAAGCCACAGCAGAAAATGGAGTCTGCAGCCGCTCCAGTGGAGACGGAGAAACAAGCAGTAAATGTTGCACCAGCATCAGATCCTCCAAAGGTGGATTTTGCTACTGATCTCTTTAACATGCTATCAATGGATGAGGCAACTCCTGCCGATGAGGCAACTCCTGCCGATGATAATTCATGGGCTGGCTTTCAGTGTATGTATCTATCTAGCATGTGCATAATTTAACATCGTGGCACAGTTTTCCTATCCTTGTTAACTTTATGTTAATTGTTCTTCTCTTGAAAATGCTTTGGAGTAATATATTAATTTCTGATCCTACAATTGTAGCTGCTGGAAGTGGTCAAACGGCAGAGAAAATTGTCACAGCGAAGCCTGCTGAGAGCAGTTCTCCTCCAGCTCCAGCTACTGGGATTGAGGATTTGTTTAAAGACACACCTAATTTAACAACCCAACAAGCACCAAAAGATGTGAAAGGTGATATCATGAGCCTGTTTGAGAAGGTAAATTATTAGTCAATTATATTCAGCTTTCCAAGTTTCCTTTCTGTATCGTTATTTAACTTAAAATTACAAATATAGCGAACGATATGATTTGTGTTTTATTATCACTTACTATGATTTCTTCAACACTGGACATTTGGAACACCAGACCAGATTCAAGTGATATAACTATGTGTGTTCTATTTTTTACAGACGAATATAGTATCGCCTTTTGCCATGCATCAGCAACAGGTTGCTATGCTCGCTCAGCAGCAAGCCCTTTACATGGCTGCAGCGAAAGCTGCTGGAGGCACTCCAAACGGCGTGAATCAACAAGCTATTGCTAATGCTCTTAACGTAGCTTCTGCAAATTGGTCAAACACCGGTGGGTACCAGATCCCCGGAATGACTAACCCCGTAGGTGGTCAAGCTGATCTCCAGAAACTTATGCAAGTAAGATCTCCCCTTTTCCTTTTTTATAGCAAGATCAATATTTCCATTGACCAAGTTCTTGCAAAATTCTCACTAATTCTTGCTCTCTGTTACATCGCCATAATTTTAGAACATGAATATGAACGCAAACATGAACATGAGACCCGCACAACCGCAAGAGAACACGCTACAATACCCATCGTCCAGGTATGCACACAAAACTGCAACTCTTTTTTGTTTTTTCTGAAAACATTGAAACGCTAAACCGTATCCTTTCCTTCCGTCCGTGTGTCTCGTCTGAATATATGATACTAAACCAACATTCGTATTAATATGTCCAGTCTGGTGAAAGAGTGCTTTCTTGTTGTCATGAACACCACTGTGTCAAGTCCATTTTTTGACATCTTGCAATAGATTATCAAAGCGCTTAACCTAACTCTCATATGATCTTTTGGTTGTTACTACTAATGCAGTTTCTACACGATGGGACAAGCTAATCAAGTGAACGGTATGACCCCAAACTCAACCGGTAAACCTCAGTCATCATCCGCGGCACAACCAACAAGCACCACACCATCTTCACAATCAGGCAAAGACTTTGATTTCTCTTCCTTGATGGATGGAATGTTCACAAAACATTGATCAAGAGAGAGACTTTTTCCGAATTTGCCTTTTCATCTTTGTTCCAAATTTGAAGAACCAAAAGAATATATATACAATCATCTCTGGACAGTTGTTAAACATATTTTTTTTCCCTATGGACCTGTGTTGTAGCAGGGCTTTGATTTATGATTTTACTCGATTGACGAAAAATTAATAGATGTAATTCTTGAGAAGAAAGAAAAATGAGATTTGTATTTTTTTGGGTGCAAAGAAAAATGAGATTTATCCATGTGAATGTGAGTATGTATGGGTGTGACCGCCACAGAACGTGGATTGTTCTCCTCCACTTACTGCTAATTTGTGTTTTCTTTTCTTTGGTAGTCGTTTTTAAATTTTCGTTAATATTTTTTTAGTTAATTAAACCAAATCAAATAAGTTATACATTCTTTACTTGGGTATAAAGTTTGTGACATAACAATTTTTTGGAACTAAGCAAAACAAAGAAACGGTTTCGAAAAGCCTTTGAAAGAAAACAAATAAATCGACCTTTATTGGTAAGATCAATAAAGGCGACGTGTTGATATTGAACTTGTTTCTTGTTATGGACGGCTGTTTTAGCGTTTAAAAGGGTTGAGTTTGGCATTGTCGGGCTTTCGGTCAAATGGCTTAAAGCTCATTCTCCTCCTCCACCACAATTTTGTGTACCTCCCTCCCACTCGCCAACCTTTGTTTACCTTTTGTGTTACTAGATGTTTTATTTAGATAGAATTCGTGAACCAATTCAATTCTAGATAAGCTTTAAAAGGAGTTGTTATGCAAGCAATCCGTTACTTTATGATATGTTCAAATATTGATGTAATTGTAAACTGTATAATCTATAAGAAGCAAAATTTTAATCAACGGTGATGATAAAGTAAATATGTAAATACCATTTCTTCAAATCCTCGCTTGATCAAATTAGTTAATTACATCATCACATTAAGTTGTTGTACACAACATTGTATTTGTTAATGTTATTTTTTGTTTTCTTTTACACGTCTATCGTCCTTGATCTAATACAAACATAAACTACAACACCACGTGGGAATTTAGCCTTGCTCATTTGATTACTAAACCAAAAATACCATGTCGGACTTGTACCGACCTTAGGGCAGAAGTTTGAAGTTTAAGTTCTATTATAGTATATAGAGGATATAGCCAATATTTATGATGCATAAGAAGATCAATCAGTATCACGAACAAAAATCCAAAATGGTCGGTAGAATTTTGTTGTGCTTGTTGACCCGTAATGCGATATATATCTTTCATGAGTTTGAATTGTCAAATCAAATCTACTATTAATATAAGCACACTAATATGCAAACAAAATTGAACGTTTAGAATTGAGAACGATGTATACGTATGCATCCATCTCAATTATTTTATGTTACATCTGCATGTCCTTATCTAAAGCATTATTCACATACATCATAATTCGCATTCTCACTCTGACTTTCAACTATTAATTTTACAATGTCAATGAAAAACGGCCTACACAACCTAAAAATCCTAGCTCAACAGTAACTACTTTTATTTTTATTTGTTTTGCTAAAAACCAATAAATTTTCTCAAATTATATAATTTTACAATAAGAAACCAAAAATTGAGATTTCTTTTTTTACATATCCTCAAATTAATACTAGAAATACATAAAATTAAGACTCAAACTTTATCCCCTCAAAAAAATAAATAAACTTAAGACAATCGACAAAAATGTTGTTGCGAAGTGAAAAAAAACAAAAACCAAATGTACGACTTGGTACGTAGGTGGTAGATTCGCGTATCTCACAATTCTCTAATCACACACAATGCATAAAATATGTACTTATATTGTCAAAAATCTTGTTGCAAATGTTAGGCAAGCTTATATTATAAGTTTCCAACTTCACTGCCACGTGTCAAATCCAAACTGCCACGTGTCACTCAGATAAGCCCCCTCAATAAATAGGCCCACTTTTGATTCTATTAGAAAAGCCCACACAAACACGGACCACATTTTTAAATTCACCATTTCTCTATATAAATACACACACTTCTCAATCTTTCTTTATTTAATTTTTGTAGATAAGAACCACCACCGAACTCACAAATTTGAAATTCCCAAAGCAAACCAATTCTCTCAATGCCTCTTCTTCTCCCTAACTCTTCCTTCAAAACTACGGCCACCGTCGTAATCGCCGGCGTTTTATCCATTGCAACAGCGGTGATTCTCACCGTTCCTCCCGTTTCCCATTTCGTGGTCTCTTGCTTTCCGATTATTTACGATAACACCGTCTTCCTCTTAAAACCACCGTATCTTTACTTAGTCATCAACTGTATCATCGTCTGCATCGTCGCTACTTCTAAACTCACTCATAAATCGTCTTCCGTCGATGGTTCTGAGATCTCTGAAGTAATAACTCCGGTTTTGGTACCGGTTCATTTACCTTCTGATATCGATACCGGTTATTTAAACGTGGTTCATGTGGTTTCTGATTATACCGGATTTGTTGAGAAAATCGATGACGTGTCGATTAATTCAACGGTGGAGGATGCCCAGAAGTTTCCAGAAGTTCAGGAGGCGGAGAAGTCAAAACAGAGCAGCGATTCGCCGGAACAGGAGACGGAGATGCCAAAACTAAAGAATGATTCGCCGGAGATTTCGATTCTTAAGCATAGTACGAGAAAACCGCCGCGATTTCATCAGCAAAAATCTCTTAAATCTAATTCAGAAGGTAAAATATTTAAATTTTGAATATACATATGTTGAGGGCAAAATCGTAAATTTTTAGGGAGGAGCTGAGCTGTCACCGTTAATGCAGGTGGAAATAAAAAGACGGCGTTGGGAGTAGTAACAAAGCCACCGAGGAGACAAGACACGCTGGAGACGACGTGGAAGAAGATAACGGAAGGACGTTCAACGCCGTTAACTAAGCACTTGACTAAATCCGACACGTGGCAAGAAAGAGCTCACGTGCAAAGCTCACCAGAAAAAAAGAAGATGACAAAGTCCGAGAATTTAAATGACATAAATACCCCTGCGGAGGAGGAGGAGAAGACGGTGTTGAAACGCGAGCCGTCGCCGGGACAGGAGGAGTTGAATCGCCGCGTGGAAGCGTTTATTAAGAAGTTTAACGAAGAGATGAGATTGCAAAGATTAGAATCTTTGGCTAAATATAATGAAATGGTAAATGGAGGGACTCCTTTGTAAATTTTGGGGTTTTTGTTTAGGTGTCGGTGAAGGAGAAAATGACGGCACAGTCGCAAAAGTTGACTTGACTCTTTTTTAGAACCACTTAAAGAGGTTTTTTCAAAATAATGCGAAGTAGGAAAAACAAAAATTTGTGTTTATGATTGTTATGATTCTTTTGGGGCGAAAAAATCACGTTACTCGTGTGGTTACAAATGAAGGATTATCTGTAAAACAGTAGTGACTAGTGATTGTAATTTTACATAATAATTATTTACCATTACAAACATTTTTGTTTTTTTTGGCAGAAATGAGTAATGTAGTTTTATTTGTACAAATACTTACATGACCATGGTAGCAGCAGGAAAAAGCCTATCCAAGAAAGTATATAAACCTCCTCCAAGTAGAAGAGCACCACTGAACCAAAACATAGAAAATAATGGAACAGAGATTTAGTGAATCAAAAATATGAAAATCATTTTGCTTTAGGATGGCTCTAAAATACCTTATGGGGTTGATCCATGCAGAGACCTTTCGCAAGGAAAGTAAGCTCTGCAGAAAATATCAAGTCACAATAAATATGCAGATTTTTACAAATTCATCAGTCGTCACAAAACTTTTTATAACCTTAACTAGGAAATTTTGCAGCTCACTATTTGGTGAATAAAGAAGTGAATGATACCTGTAAAGCTCCGGCGAAAGAAGCAGCCACGATGAGTGGAGCAACGTAACCTGTTGTATATGTTAACAGTAAGCTTCCACCAATTACTGGATCCTGTGTTTCACAACCATTGCATTATCCATATCAGCGTTTTGCTAAAACTCAAACTGTTTCTTAAAACTTGATAACTGAGTAGAAAAGTTCTCATATTCATAATTGAGATGATAAAATTTCAAATGGAAGGAGACAAAAGGGAATTACCCTGGAAGTAGCCACGTAGCCAAGAAGGGTGGCTAGAACTGGAGTACTACAAGGTGATGCAGCAAGTGCGAATGTGAGACCGGCTAGATACGCTTGCACACCTAACAAATATTTTGTTAACAAAGTGTTAGAAACTGCAAAAGAAAAGTAAAAGACAGTTTGATCTCCAAAACACACACAAAGGAATGTCTTAGAAGGATTACTAGATGGGAAGTTTGCTGCTGCAGCACGAGGATCAAAGTTGTTAAAGAAAGATGGAAGCTGAAGTTCGATTATCTGTACGAAGAGAGGAAATACATTATGTTAGACATGGCCATTCCAATTGATGCAAAAATAAGTAGGAAATTGATTGTAACAAAATTACCTCAAGGAGATTCAAACCCATTACAATAGCCAGACCGGATGCAGCTACTGGTAACCCTTGTCCTATTTGTCCATAGGCTTTTCCGGCAAAAGAGGCTACTATACCAAGAAGTGCTAAGGTAGTTGCTAATCCGAGTGCGAAAGCAACTGTGTCTCCAATAACCTAAATGCAAGGAGAACTGAAAGGTCACTAAAAACTACTATAAATGCGAATAAAAAGAATGATGCATTTGACTGGGGCTGAGTTTACTGTTCCTTTGAGGGAGGTTTGAATTGTTTAAAAGAACCTAACTTTAACTTCTTTTACATTTTTTCATTCCGCAACGACAATGATCCAACCAACTCCTAAGGTGGCAGCTATTATCTAGAAATCTGATCTGGAGAGTAACTAACCTGACCTCTGCTTTTGCCAGACCCAAATGCACCTGTAGTATGTTACAGCCTTATTAAGGACAGGTGAGGCAATAATTAAAACATCAAACTAAGATTCTAAAATAACTTGTGAGAAACGCAAGTTATCATACCAATATAACCAAGTGTTAAAGGCAGAACACTTAGTGTACATGGAGACAAACTTGTCACAAGGCCTGCCCCAAATATTACTGCCAAACTACAACAGGGATAAATTAGCAGGAGAGCCAGAGAACTCGATGATCGAACTCTCAGAAATGCGCGTATTGAGAGAGAACCCGAGAAACAAACCTTGTTACACTGAGAGCTGAAAGCTGATCCTGAACAGCTTCGTTAGCCTGTTGGTTAGCTG